TAGTAGTAGTAGTAGTAGTAGTAGTAGTAGTAGAAGTAGTAGTATGTAGTGGCAAAAATGACAAAAATGAGGCTTCAGGACCCCTTGCAAGTAACCGGCTGACTGCTAGACCATGAGATCTGGTATGAGTATCTACCATGTTTGCTTGGTATAACCCGCCTCTACTCAACTCCTTTCTGTGTTTAATTTCCATACAACACAATGTCTTAACATATTTTTGTAGCATTTAATAAGTATATACTGAAGAACAATACAGTGAACGATAATGGTAACATTCATTTTTTGATGTTTATTCTATTTCTATGCTATTCAACTAACACGGCATTGATTAAACAAGTGCTTGTTACAGTGCTTTAATAGACCTCGCATTCAATCAGTCTGGCTTTTGTCTTGAAGAAAATGGATAGTTCTACGGCTGGGGTCTGGGTACCTCCTCTATAAAGAGACGACTGTTTGAATTCCACCCGGTATGGGCGTCAGCATTTCCAAACCCGGCACAGTTCCCGACATTGAAGCCCACACGAATATGTCCCTTGTGGATCTTGTCACAGTGACCTTCAATATGGCGAACACGGTGGATGAAATGACCCACACCTTTTGCCATGTACACTATACCATCAATTGCACGTGGAGCCTTGCATTCAGAACCGTTGAATGTGAAGAACCAGCGCTTACAGCAGGCGTTGCAACTACCAATTCTAAAATCGCCATTCCAGTAGACATGGAGGATGGAATCCGTGAACTTCTTGTAGAAAAGACAATCCTGTATAAAGGTATCGAACGAAAGTTCATAGGAAAGTTTAAAAAAGTTTTCCTACATATCAAGTGGGCTTCTTATCTGGGAATACACTGCCTCAAGGACACTGTATGCACTGTATGCATGGGAGATGAATGCTCCTAGTAATGGCATTGGCTCATGATCTGGGAATATACTGCTTTACATACATAGTATAATACATAGTATATACACAGATAAACATCCACACAAATATTAATCAAAAGCCTTTGAAGCTAATTAAGGATTTTTAAATGTGAAGAGTAGAGCCACAGTAGAAAAAGGAAAAGCATAGGAAGGGTTGTTAAATTAAATACTAGGTAAAAGAGCATGTTTTCATGAAATTTACATACATACCCTGATCAGGCCATTGTCTTTTCCTTCGTGGACGTTTGTCCACGAACATTCTTTCCAGTTGAAATAGGCTGAAAGACCCTGAGGACCAGTGATACCGGGTGTACCAGGAGCTCCGGGAGGTCCTTGCTTGCCTGGAGTCCCGTCAAACCCTCGAGGACCTTGTTTACCTTGAGTACCTGGTCTGCCA